CCAGTTATTAATGGTGATTAAGCTGTAGATTGGAGGGGTTGCTTAAGGAGAATGATTAGAAATCATGGTCAGGGTGTCGCAGGACTTTCATTCAAACCTAATAATCTGGAGATTAGCAAATTAACCTGAAAAGTCTATGAGGCGGTACGAAGAATGAGTCCGGCTCATGTGGATCACGTTCACAAGGCCCGAAATGATGGCACTGGTTCTCTGGTCGCAAACTTTCCCTGACAACTGCCTACAACCCTCCATAGCATTCAAAACCTTGGAACCATGAACTGATTTATTTGGAGTATGAGTGCTCAACGTTTACGTCGCGGTAAGCAGCGCTTGGTCTCGCTGCCCTTAGCCGCGAGCGTCAGCAACGAGCTTCAATTCGTCTTCAGTAGTCTTCATTTAAAGTCTTTCTTATGTTTTAATAGACTCAGTGGAAATTCCGCATTGGCAACTCTTATCGTTTTCAAGTTGATGTTGTGCTTATCGGCACCATGTCTCACGTGCGAAGTAAGAAAGCCTAATCCCGGTCGAGTGCCAATCAAGCCTTCTACAGTACCGGGTCAGTTAATTAGTATCAGGCTACACCGAGAAAACAAACAATGACTAACTTCCTTTCACCATGTGATCGAGTAGTCCCTTCTCCCCTGTGCTCTCGGAACGTCACAGAAATGAAAGCTGAATGCATGGCTCCCAGAAAGGGCTTGCTCAACGATGAAAACTTCAAACTTTTTCATCACTAATTTCTTTTAAGAGCAAGAAGAGAGTCAAATCCAAGCAAGGAGGGGCTTCAGCTTGTGGAGCCCATTCTCAAAATACCATCTACATTCCGAATCGAACAATCCTGGGGCCTTATATAGGGCGTTTTGATGGTTTATTCGATTATTCCTTCTCCAAACAAGTCAAATGGCACCTACAAACTTGTACGGACCTTAATCACACGAGCTACAATCGCTGAATGCGACTTCGAACGATGACCAGAGACGGGTGTACACAAGTGGCAAGCGGCCACTTGCTTTGCCCGAGCATCCCCAGGCAACAGCCAGTCCTGTACTACAAAAACGTACACAACACAAGAAGATAAACAAGTATAGTTTATTTTTTCTTGCAACACATGCAAACATATGTAGGAACATGAAATTTTAAATGTAGCATAAAAATACAACAAATAACGACAAATATCATTGGTGTATCAAATTGTTTTTGTCTTGGTCCAGAAAGGAAGAGAGCTAGACGATATAGTAATGGAATCAGCAGTCCACGTAGAGAACAACGTAATGCCGACCCAATGTCCGCCAGACCACGATTCGAGGTAGGCAATTTGTGACCAGACTTGAGCAGAAAGTATGCATATACAACACTGAAAGTGAAATCAGCATATCATCAAAGTGAAATTCCAAACTGAGATTCGAAAGTGAAATTTTCAATTTGAAAAAAAAACTGACGACAACTCGTGCATCAACAGCGACGATACGATCTTTCTTGTCAGTCCAGTGAAGTGCGTGGGCGGACACAGTGTACGATGTCACAAAAAGTGCACCCATAACTCGTCCACACAGCTCATGGGACTCATCCAAAGGGATCACAACCTAAATTGTTGACAAGACTCCGAAAAATCGTGGTGAACCAAGAAAGAGCGGGAAAAAACCGTGGTCCTACCTGCCTATCAAAAGCCATTTCGAATGTTAACCAAGCCGTCCAAGATACATATGGAGGCAATAGCATCCAACTGGTAGAGACAGTTACCAATTCTATTGTTAGGTAACAACGCTGTGCCTAAGATTACGTCAAAATCAGCACATATGTTTCAGCAATAGCAACTACAGTGCTGGAAACTTTTTCATCAAAGAAACATGGCACCATTTAAACGTTTTTAGCTCACTCCCCTCAAATTGGCCACATTTTCTATTGGCATTTTTCTGAGAAAGTAGATTCGGCCACAAGTGTGCCTCCCAAGGTTTTTCCGATCCCTCTCCTCTAACATGCATATTGCATCCGCTTGGCACGTGCACTGACGGGCCCGCACCATAGACGCCGGCAAAAAATGCCACAGATTACCATTTTCTCTGAATGCTTGTTCTCAGATGTAGTTTGACTACCCGAACAAAAATACCATATCTACGTGGCACGAAACAGACTCGTGCTTGCCTTACAGGCGATGGCTTCACAGGTCTTTTCTGACTACGGCGCATGTAGCGTGTACTCAAGGCGCTTTCGTGCCACAAGTATAGTAGGCCTGGGGTCTTTATGGAAATATTCCACATATGATAACATGTCCAAGGAACGCAGCCACGTGTTCATTGTCTATAAAAAAGCGAGGAAAGGCGAGATTCTCTTAGTGAGTAAAGTACTTTCCACTACAACATCTTTGCAGAAAATTGTACAGTCGCCTCCGCAGTTCCTGGGCCTTGCCACGTACGTACGAGACGAATGTGTCCGCTGCACTAGCGTATCACTTCTCCTGCTCAACTGCGACGCGAACGGGGTTGGAGAGCGTTGACACCCAGTACTATTTCTAGATTTCGCCACGTGGCCACACGGCTAAAGTCACACCCTCGACTGTAGCCAAACGCGCTTCTTGTCTGCGCCCTCTCACTTCACATTGTTCTCATACTCTCCTCATCATTACGGACTGTCGGGGCGTATCAGCCAGTAGGAGTGCGCACATTTGAAGCCGTTCTCTGCCTTTTCGTTGAAACCCGTATGCGCGACAAAAAGTGTAGCAAAACCGAGCCAATACGAAGGATATAATGCTCATGTCATTTTGCTCGCTTTCGGGTGGCACGAAAGATCTTTTCACCGGCGGGAAAACGCACTGACCCGCCCCGACAGTCGTAATGATGAGTACTTTAGGCTGCGGTGTTTCGTGGAATTCGTATCGACCCGATGCATCACTTTTTGTAAGCATAGTCGCAGGCGGATCGCTGGCGTGAAAGGTAGCCTGATATCATTACGCATCAGTTTCCATTCGCTTGCCCTACCACCCACTAAATAAGTGTTACATTTTAGCAGCTGCCAGCCACGTACTTTTTAGTTATGGCAATAAGACGGCGTCCTCAGAGGGTGCTGTGTGCGATTCTATCGCAGATGATAAGTAGGTCGTCTGCGCTGGTGGGCGCTCGCGTGTACGAGTCCTGTCTTGCGTCGTGCTCGTTCAAATTGTTAAAATGATCATCAAGCCATATTGTTTATGTTAATCCTGTACTGCTTTTCCCATTTTCCTATGATGATCAATGATTGTTTTTTCCGCATTCAAAAGTAAGGGGTGTAAGACTGGTCCCACGTTATTTGCTCAAAATTACTGATCCAATTTTGGGCTTTCGGAACTTGTGAATACGCGGTCTTCGAGACTCATTTGTAAATGCGGGTAAGTATTGGCAACTCCGGAATTGTCGCACCGCGCCGCCGCGCGAGACGCCGCGACGCGATGTGCGCGACGTGACCTGACTTGCCGACGATAGAATCGCCCGGGTCCCCCTCAAGGTGAGGGTCAGTTTGTCTGCAAATCACTCTCACCGATGTGCCAACCTGACGCAACTAGAAGTAACTACATTGAACCACATAATTCCACGAAAAGCACATTCTTCGCGAATTCTAGGTACTGAAACAGGACTTCATTGAATTTGGTAATAATAGATGAATGAAAATGCACAAGTGCTATAAAGGCGCGCACGGCCGCTGCGCGTAACGGGTCGGTGTGCGACGAAAAAAGAACTGGAGAGCTACGCAGTTGTAGCTGTGCAGGCCTTTGGAGACATCGCCATGAATCCGATGAATAATCTTTTGAATTGGATTGAGGCTTACAGAGACTGACATACCGTTGGTTTGATCAATTCAGGAGTGATGGAACGGCATTGGAACACCAGCATGAGACAAATTATACATGGCTGAAAACAATACTCGTGTGAGGAATTCCTCTGGCGCTAAAGTGTTCGAAGAAAGGGGGGGGGGGGGGGGGGGGGGGGGGGCAGACGTGCCTGCCCTTTCCCAGAACTAATACGTTTGCGTTGTAATCTCAGTGTAACGTTGCAAAAAACTGAAAAAAAAACTGATGAAGCAATTACTCACAACAATTCGTAATAAGAAGCAGAGCGTGTGTGCAGCACGACCAGCATTTCGTAAGCTGTAGGAGACGAATGCAGATGCAATGAGTTGTCCTCCAATGCATCGAATGAGATGCCAATGAACGCCATCCGACTGCCGTTTCTAATAAGAAATATGTTAGAAGTATCACATCACTATATATAGTGCCATAATTATGTCTTATTCTCTGTGGGTGCCTCGATTCGGCCCAATAACTCTTATTCCCGTTTGCGCTTCTGAAGGTGGTGAGGCGTGTATAGCAGAGAGGGCGTCTTCAATAGCGCGAAGGAGTGAGCGCAGGAGCACGTTATCGTAGAGACCCGGGCTGGTGGCCCGGTAACGTGCAGTCTGAGAACAAGCGCAGAGTGAAAGGGCGTGATTCCTGGAGCGGACCTGCTGTGGAAGCCGAACGCCCATAAAGTGTCGAACATCGCGTGCTGACGCCTTGCTGCACACCCACTGTGGAATGACACTGTGACGCACACCACAGGCCTGACAATCTTCCAATTAAAATTATATTTGGAGCCCCGAAATTTTTATGAGGTGCAATCAGACTGTTTGACTTTTGAGAACCAGTCGACATTGAAATTTCCTGTTTTCTCCTAGGCAAGCCCTACACCTGACCTCTGGGGAAAGTACTGGCCTTGTTCTAGGCAGCATTTGGTGCGCGAATCTAATTGTAAAGTGTCACAGCAAAGGGACTCGCTAGTGCTCGAGAGCGCTGCGCGAGAAACGTGCGACGAGCCAGGATGTAGTTTCCGAGATAAGCGGACTAGCACTGGGTGTGCCATCTACCATGCGTGAAAAGCGGGGATGTGTGAGGCCATGGAATGCATGCAGACGAAAGAGTGCAGAGGAAAGCAGAGGTTGAGGCCATTAAATGGATTGAATTCAACTAGTCCGTAAACCCATTAAGGGCATAAAATAGAAGGGATGACCGCAGTTCGATATAGGGATGTTCCATTTACGCTATAGAACAGAAACTGAAGTGTAGATGAGATTAGTTAGGAACGAAAGTAATGATGAAATGAGAGAACGACAACATGCGACCTTCCCAGTGATGAAGGTGAACTGCACACAAGTAGAGAGATGGATAGATGTTCCGCTAGAATAGGATGCATCGAAGAAAAGCCGAAGCTGAAAGCTGAGCCATAGGCATGTTGGACGGTTTGAAACGACAGAAACTAAAGAACTCAAGGCTACGGCGTAACGATAGCAAGATGATGGGCTGAGAGGATGATATTGCGTTCAAACGTTGGTTAGGAGGTGCTGGGGAGGTGATGTGTTCGCCAAAAAAACGGAAGAAAAACAGCCGAGAACGCTTTCAGTAAGACTCCTCAATTTCAAATGTTGTGCGAGTTATAGCGCATGAACGAGCTTTCACCATTGTTCACGGGCAGCAGCTGTTTACAGGGGACCTGTTAACTCTTGAAGCCTACACCGTTTTGGAAAAACACTTATTGTGCAGCGGACGGAGACCTCGTGCCTAGGGTGCAGGGTTTTTCACGTGGCAACCCTGTGAAGTAATTGCCATGCAACTTTTCGGCGTGGACGTAACAAACCAGCAGCCATTTGTGAAATGCGACAATCTTAGGTGTGATATGTCCATCAATCAGGTAGTGCAAACTGTACCCTTAAGAAAAGAATATACCAGACTCGTGTGCCACACTTCGTCAATGCGATAAGCTGCATCCGCATGACATTGGATCATTCGAGGGTTTGGATTCGCGAACTATGACGCACCCTGCTAACAAGGAAAGGATGGTTGGTCGAAGTGGCCATTCGAAATGAGACGTATACTGCCCGATGGGCCCTTGGACGCTGATTACAAATCTGCCCTCCATATCTGCTAAACGATTTCCTGGACAAAGTTATGCAGGATTTTTGACCAGGTCACACCCATTTCCAGCATGTACAGTCCTCATCATTGCGGACCGGTGGGCGTTTCGCCAAGAGAAAGTGCGCACTACTGTTGGAGCCGATTCCCACTCCTTTTTGTTGAAACGCGTATGCGACAAAAAGTGGTAGAAAACGAGTAATACGAGATATAATACAGTAATGTCACTTGCCCGCTTCAACAACTGGTGCAGAACGACTTCATCACCGCGGAAGACGGAGCCGCACTGACACGCCCCACCGGTCCGCAATGATGAGGACTGTATAGTGATTCTTCCAAATGCCCAAATTGGCTGGAATATGGAACTGAGGTGCTCAGTGACTGGTAAATCACACGCAGTTATATTCGTGAAACGTCTGTACGGCATTCTGGAGAGGCCAGAGTGGAGGACTTGTAAGGATGAGCCATGCTACAGTAGAAATAAGAAGACGTAGGTGGAGAGGATGTGAAAGCGGACCATTATGAAAAGCTATTCTGGCACTAGTAGGCACGATTTTCCACTGGGTTGATAAAACAAAGTACAATTTAGGTTTCTCCTCGCTGATTCCTCTAGTTTTTTTTTACCCGTCAGTAGGCAGGGTGCACTATCCTCCCGAACGAATCTGGTACCGTTCTACGCTCCAGGAATGGTAAATTGGTGCTAGAATCGCCTGAGAGGATAGGAACAATTACCCTAAAATCCCATAGATAAGAGCGGTTTAATTTACCGGTGAAAAATGAATTGGAATGAAATTGAAATTGAATG